GACATTCCTAGCACGTGAGTGTTTCATATTAAAATATTCTTCATGATTCGTAGGTGCACGTGAATTGCCTTCCCACTCTTGCAAATGGTATCTCGTGCCTCTATACGGTGTCAGAAAACCCTCACCATTCGTATATCCGGAATCAACCAAATAGTATGTACCTACATTAGTTGATAATAAATTTTAGTTGTTGGCCAACAAAGGTAAGGAAGAATACTATATCTTGGTCTATTGACATTAGGCACAGTGACCCCTATGTATGTTCCATCTAGCGCTCCTAAGCAACCCTAGACAAAAGAAAAACTTATATTAATTAGCAACTACAAATAATTATGTTATTAATGATTTTACTATGATGATTACCTTAAAGCATTTCCATCTCGATTCCGTGCAATCCTCTGGTATAGGGGTTGGTTTTGCAAACAACACATCTTGCAAACTGAGCAACGCACGCAATACTCTGCGAACATACCGACTAATAGTTTCACCAGACCTAATGAATCTAACTTGCATTGACCTATTTTTATTGTGGTGGGCTAATATGTTGACAAAAGTAGCTACTTGCTCCTCTATTGTAACATGACCATCATCTACCAATCCAGCACGACTTTGTAGTAAATCACATAAAACTGCAAATGCATTCCTATCCATTCGCAGCTCCCACAAACAGTGAGTATCACTCAATCGTGTGATACGATTTATTTCCTCTCTCCTAACATGAAGTCTAACAAATGTCATCTGCTCTAAACTAGCTATTTCCCGTTGTCTCCTTTGTTGTTGTCTATACCTCAACAATTGTGCATTCATAGTAAAGACTTGTGCCATTATAATCCAAACGTTCAAAAGAACAAAGAATTGAGTCTCATATTCATCCATACCTTCACATGAAAAAAAAACATATGCAGGATTCAATTATTGAATGAATCAAAATATGATACTATATTTTCATAAACATCAAAAGAACCCTAATAGGAATTGATAATGATAAAAGTGTCCAAACTAAAACTTGGGATGACATATTGTGAACCACAAAGAGTAAATTGCAAATAAAAAACAAAGTCAACATAGGGTCAGTGGATACTATACCTTAAAAAAATATGTTCAAGAGTGATCTGTACTACACCAGTTACTACAATGGTCCTCATTAGTTAGTACATAGTGAAAACTTATAAGCCCTTAATCCCAACCTAACCACAGATTGAACTAAAAATGGAAATCTCATCACTACCTTCTGATTCACCTAGTAATCCCCTCTTCTGTAACAGTAACAAAAAAAACCTAATAACTTGTGGTAAAGGATATTGACCAACTTGCACATGGAGATATCAAGGAATTACGGTAGGGGAAAATCCATTTACTGCAAACTTGCAGCAACTATAATTACCAACATTGTCTCAGCGACAACTAAAGTTTAAATTCCCATGTAAGTAAAGAGGAAAAACAAAACTAATCAACACCAATTTTGTAAAGCCCACAGGGAATTCGAAATTTCATCGACTTTGCCAGCTGGGCCACATAATGAGAGAAGATTATCAAAGTAGAACTAATGCATAAAATGCTTTTGGGAAGAAATTGAAGGGGGGAGTCGTTGACATCGAATCCAATGTCCCCATCAAGCCAAAATGGAATAGGGTGTGCATCAATATACTTGAATTACAAACAGCAAAAAGGGTTAACTTATGTTTGCAATTTCTTTCTAAAATTTTGAAAACTTAATTGTAGTTAAAATTAAACTTAATTATAAGTGATGTGTCGTGCGCTAAATCGTTAAATTATTATAATAGTGTAAATTTAACAAAATGCTAGTAACTACATAAAGTCTAAATGTAGAGATTGATATCTTATATTTTTCTAGCTGGATATATGCGTTTGGCAACATTCGTTTGCTTAAAATTATGCAGAACAGTTTTCCAAAGTAGGTAGCTGATTGCCACCCAACAAAATCTACAACAACCAACCCCAACTTAACAATTTCACAAACCTAAAGTTTTATTTTTCCTTCTATTTCCTCCTTAAGCATTTATATCTATACACACTTATTCAGCTACTCATGATCGATCCAACAGAATCCAATCCAACAGAACCCAAAGACATTAGATTTGTAGATTTCAGCACATAAAAATCGAAACTTAAACACTGAAAAAAATCCAACAGAACCCAATCCAACAGAGGAAAATCCAAAACATAATCCAATCCAACAGAATCCAAAGACATCAGATTTGTAGATTTCAGCACATAAAAATCGAAACTTGAACACTGAAAAAAAAAATCCAGATAGAGAGATACCTTTGAATGCAGTATTGCTCAATAGGGGGAGTGGAAGCAGATAAACAGAGGCGGATCTTTGGTTGCAGATGCAGTATTGGGCAGATCAAGGCACTACAACATACAAAGAAATCAAAACAAGCAAATCAGAAAAGAATACAAAGAAATCGAAGCACTACAAAATACAAAGAAATTCAGCAGAATTAGGAATTTGGTGTTAATAAAATCGAAACAAGCAAATCAGAAAAAGAATAAAAATACCACTTCAAATTTACATCAAAATTAATTAAAGATATGAAAAGAGGGTCAGCGGTGAGAGCCCTGGCCAACCAACAATGCATGATGGTTGGGTTGATTAGCACTGCATCAATGTTGAAAAAAAAAATAGAAAACAGACAGCTCATGCACCATCTCAATCGATCGAGATTTCAGAACATGCAATGACTTGATGGCAACCCTAATTTTGGTTTTGCATAGCTAACCCTAGACAAGTGGTAAATCAAGGACTATAGGGGTTTAGGATTTGCATCAAGTCAATATCCTTTAACTTTGCCGCCACTTGGGGTCAGGTTTGTAAGAAAATGGGGTTTTAGTTTCAACAATTGGCATGGAAGGTGGACGAGTCAGTCCATCCAAATGGGTTGGGTTTCCGATTGCGAGCCTCCAAAATGTGGTATAAGGACTGAGAAATGAACATGTTTTTTAATTTTTTGATTTTATTGCTGCAGCAAACTAAATAGAAGGGAAACCCCAAAATCAAGTCTTACATTTTGGAGGCGTGTTTTCACCAAATCAGCACAATACAAAGAAAGAGAGACCGAGAGGCAAATCGTACCTGGACTGGAGATGCAGAGCTGAAGTTCACAGAGAAGGTTGCAAAGGGGAGATGCAGAGGATGAGGAGGAAGGTTGCGAAGGAGGGGAGATGCAGAGGAGAGGAATGAGGAAGACAACGGCAGGCAGAGAGAAGATATTGTTTTAGGGTTTGTAATGATTTAGATGGTGTAATTTTTGAAAAAGATATGGGGTACATTTGTCTTAAAATGGTAAAATATTGTGTTCCACAGGCGTGGAACAACCCGTTCCAGGGGGTAGACGCGAGACACAAAAACACCCAAATTCTGTCCCGTGGAACAGCGCGTTCCACCCTTTTTTGGTGTACCAAACGCAAGACCGAACGCTTCGTCCCGTTCCGTCCCGTCCCGTCCCGTGTACCAAACGCACCCTTAACTACTCGTTCTTCCTCTCTAGCTTTCGCGTATGTAGAAACTGCTGCTTAATTTTGAATTTTTTTCCGTCTGAAACTTAAATTTCTAGCCGAATGCGCATTCGATTAGCCGTTTTAGGGGTTCCTTTTCTGTTCAATTCATGAATTGTTTCATCTATTTACACAGCCTTTTTAAATACCACAATTTGTTTTCTGTGATGGGAATTGGGCTAAATCGCAAGCGCCCAGAAGCTGAAAGAGTAATTAGAAATTAAAAAAGGAAAAAAATATGGATTTTTGTGGGTTTTTCTGTTTTTGTACTTATGGGGCAATGAAGTGCTTTTCATTGATGATGAACTTGCACATTTTCTTGAAATTACATTCTTTGTTAGTTCGTAATCTGATGAATTGTTTACAAAAGTAAACCACTTTTATTATTTGGCGTAAGTTTCATGATTTGTGAATATAAACACCCTGCAATTTGATGAAATTGTTGAAATTATGCAGATTTGCATATTGGGTTGGTCTTGAAATTTTTGAATTTGTAGTAGCGTTATCAGTTGGTGCAGGAGCATCAAAGGGGTTCTCGAAGCTAAGTGAGTCCGCTAGCCAGATAGTTGGCTAGGGTTCTAGTTAATTTGGGATATTAGAGCCCGTTTGGTACTTTATTTGAATTCAAGGTTTTAAACTCAAAACTGTTTATCAAATTTCAACTCAAAAACTTGTTTGGTAAGCCTGTTTTGCGAAGCTTGAATAAAAAATTAACTCAAAAACTAGCCTAAAATCTAAGAACAACAAATTTATGTTACCTTGGCGTCCAGACCAACAACACCAAACTTCGACTGTGAGTAACCGCCGGTGATGTTGCCGAGATTTGTTAATACTTAACTTTTTAGTTACAATCTTACGAGAAGAATACCTTACTAAGCTTTCATATCTTTGAATTTCTTTGGACATTGCCGACAATTATTTGACTGGTTCACTGCCAAGTGAAGTAGGTGATTTTGTACATCTCGCAATGCTAGATATATCAAACAATAAGTTATCAGTGAAATCTCCAGCAGCCTCGGCAGATGTGATAGTTTGGAGCGCCTGTACTTGGAACACAATAAATTAAATTCCCCACATATATTTCTTTACATCAGTTTTGAGTGCCTAACTGGATTTGGAAGAAGAGACAGAGTGGGTGGCGCTGTGGTGGATTGGTGGGAGTTGAAAAGAGGGGGAAGAGGCAAGGGAGAAGAGAGGAGGCAATTTAGAAATTTTACATGGATTTATGGTTAAATTTGTAAGAATTGTAAAAGGTCTGTTGGCTATTCTACATCGGTGGGGAAGGAAAAAAGAATGAGTTTAAATATGATTACCTCACTCTAACTAATACTGAAGTCTTTTGTGATAAAACCCCACACATAGTGGATTGGGCAGATGATAATTATCAAGTCGGGGACAATGCCAATGTTATTGAAGTGGGGCCCTAAGCCTGTCGACTTGTTCCAAAAAGGTAGGCTAAAATTTCCCTTTTCTGAACAGGTAATTTTCTCTTCCAACTAAATTAAGATTCTACTCCTCTCTATCAGAATTTAGATGTGTAGGTTCCCGATGCTGGAGTGGAAGACGATGCAGCATCTCGATTCACAACATGTTGGCTGCAGCACAAATCTGTTGCAGCCTCACGTTGCCCTGTTTTGTCGATTTGGCCCTCATTGTAGATTTGCGCTTTCTTAATCTGTTGCTCAATTTTTGTTTTTAATTAATCTTGTTTAGGGATTAAGCTGACATTCAATAATTCAAGCTCTCTTGATTTTCATTAGATTAAATTACGGGTTTAATTCGTATTTTCTTAATTTGTTCATATGGGTTTGCACTTGCAGTTTTAATCACGAGGCTCTTCGGGAGAGCAAGAGAGAAATGGTTAATGCTACCAGAGGGTTAAGTTGTATGTTGAAGCTGGATGTCTCAACACTGACGACGGCATGCAAAATAATATAACCAAGTGTGAGTGCAATTTTATATGTTTTCTTGTGCTTTCTTTCAATTGTTGGTTAGATAATCGAGTGTTGAGACCCTCCTAAGCTCTAACAATTATGCTCAATTATTTGTTTAAACTGTTATCTTTGACAATCTACTAGAAATAATTGGAATGAGTTGATAACTTGATAGTCTTCTTTCTCTTCATTTGAATTCAGTTCTCCGTAAATAAAAAATGTGGACATCTGTTAAAGGACACTGCTCTTACTTGCGCTCCTTTATACCACAGCAGTGTGATTATAATATGAGTTTTTGTTTTACAGTTTGTCTACAATTGGCTAATAATTTGTAGCGTTGATTTTACTGGGTATAACTAATGAGCATGTTTTTCTATCCTTTCTTTTGGTATGATGATGTTCCCTTACGTTGAGCTTTCCCCATTTCTCATATGTAATTGGTCTGGACTCCGAACTTGATGGTGAAAGCAAAGAAATTAAAGGAATGCTTGGTTTCAGTGATGTAGATTGGACTCTCCTGCTGTGCAATATCACCAAGGGAGCGGAAGCTTATGAATGTGGTTGTCGAAAACGAGTGCAATTAGAGACTCGTACCTCAAGGTTTTAGAGGACTAAAGAAGGATAAAGATATGCTGCTTGTGGTTTTTCTTTTCTTGTTTCTTTGCCTCTCTCTCTGTCTTCGCTTTGAACTTTGCCTCGTTTATATTAGTACATGACTTATAGCTTTCAAATTATTGTTTGTGTAGTGTGGAGCTATTTGTAAAAATCTTGCCAGAAATTTCAACATGGTCGAAGGAAAAGAGTGTTCCAAACCATTTACAAATGAACTCTATCCACGATGAACAAGTCAACGATTATATCCAAAGGTTCCTAGAACCAAATCAAATCTTGCTCCACTAAAAGACCATACCTTGCCAGTCTATGTGCAATGATAACACATTTGAAATATAAACGGATTAAAAATTACACATTATGAAATCAGTTACAACAAAAGAGGAAGGCTCGGGTCAAACAGCATCATCTCTAACAATAGGCTATATCAATTATAGATTAATCCCCCTCTATAAGGATAATACTTGCACTCTCCTATGGGGATGAGCTTATTTTTCCAATTGTAAATAACGCAAGGTAGTAATTTCATAATCGAAATCGTTCAATTTCTTAATCTTCATTTGAAGATCATCCATACAAAAAATTATTTGAATCGGTGGTCGCTTAGTCAACCAAATGTATCACTGATTTGTTTGATTTTTAATTAGGATGATCTTTAAAAGAAGATAAAAAGATTAAACAGTTTCAATTATGAAACCTTTTTTGGTAAAGATACATTATCTGGAAGTGGGAGAATGAGTTCATTCCTCGGGAGAAATGCAAGCATTAAACTAGACGTATTATGCATATGGAAATGGTGGAGATATTGAAGGTTTCAGGTCCTCATTACTGTAGGTAATTCCCATATATAAGTTCCGAAAATAACTTTGTGCGTTCGCTTACCGTTTGGTACGCAGACGGGACGAAACGGGACGAAACAGATGATGTAAATATTGAAAAAGATAAGGAGAAATTTTGTCATAAAATGTTATAAATTTGTGTTCCACGGATGTGGAACGGGTCATTCCAGGGGAAAGAGGTGGAACGAAAAATCAGCCAAATTTCATCCCCTAGGACAACCCGTTCCACAGTTTTTAGGCGCACCAAACGTGGGACAGAACGGCTCGTCCCGTCCCATCCCACGTATCAAACGGTATATCTTATATCTTGGACTTGGAGTCATTATACGCGTGATCAACAAAGTCTCTAAACTTTTGAGAAATGACTCGGGATTAAACTTTTCAATTTTTGAGAAACGACAATTTTTCAATAAGTAGGGAAAAGACTTCAAAGTCAACGCGTCAATCAGTTCAGCCAATATGAATCTCAAAATTTCAATTTCCACAATGTGACTTAAGTAAGGTTTTAATCATCAGTTTTTACATATATTTTCTCAAGTTTTAGGGCCTCAGGATGCCATCGACTATTTCTTTTGTTTAGTATTTACCAATTCAATGGTGTCTAACCACTTAGTATTACGGTTTAGTGGTATTCCTCTTCATTTATAAGTGTAAGATCTTATGTTCGATTCTAACCAAAAGCGAATTTGAACCATTTTATTGCTAGCTCATTGTGAGGCTTAGCCCACTTAATTTCTCTTAGGGTACATAATATCATGTTTTAAAAAAAAAAATCAACAGTATCCTTTACACGATTCCCATTTTCTAAACAACGAATGACAAGAATTTAATCTTTTGCATATATTTTAATTTGAGCAAAAAACTTGCATGACGGAGCATTATTAATTTGAAATACTGCACACAATACCGTCCCAAATCAAGTAATATATCTCATAGGTATTAGGATGGGAAAGGCAAGAGCACTAAGGTAGTGGCCTAGTGGGGTGTAAGTGAAGGGACCCATTGTCTCCGCATTCTTCCACTTCGCTATGTTTTTCCACTTGCCCCTGCCGCAAGTGCTGCATACCAAACCACACTTTACCGAGAAAAACATGAACATTAATTCATAATTAATGGAGAATAAGTGACTAATTTTATTATGCATCCACTTCCACTACTTCTCATGAAAATTTCCGAGTTGATGATTGCTTTATTCCAAGTCCTCGGCCACCCCTTTTTGAATATGGCTCGCTTAGTGCTAGACTTAGATTGGGTTGGTTAACTCATAAAACTCAAGGTAAATTAAAGGAAAAGGCTTTTCTCTTATAAGAGGTCTTTGGTTCGAATCTCAGAAGTGACTTAACTAGTAAAAAAAATATGCCATGCTCGTTTGAAAAACTTACGGTGAACTACTAAAAAGTTACTTTAGGAACATGACTTAGTTTGAAGGGAATCGAGTGAGAAGTTGAACGACTAAAAAGGTACATTAGGCACGAGTAAAAAAAGGGTTGAAATGTCTTAAACAACCTTAAAATGTCCAAAATAATCCTGAACGGATCGAGTGGGAAGCTGAAATATCCGAAATATCCTTGAAAACAAGTCATGTGCAAGACACGACTTGTTTTGGATGGAAAGTTTAACGGAATTAGGGTGATATGACAACTTAATGATTTTCAAAACTTAATAGAGTAATGTTACACTTACCACATTTTGCATACCACATTTGTACCATCTATCCAATATGGTAGGACCCACCAATCATGTGTTAGGATTTTGGCTCGTCAAAGTTAATGTCCTATTTTATTTAGGATTGTATTAGGGAAATTAATAGTGCACCGATTCTTCTCCTAAAAGGACTAGGGAATAACCAAAGTTTCCTTGTACAATTAGATTGGGAATCCCGGAAGATATCTTGGAAAAGGAAAGAAAGTGTCCTTTCGTATTCCATATAGAACAGGAAACGTAATAAAAAAGAAAAAAAAAAAAGGCATGCAAACCACACCGTATATTTATAAACAGGGTGCGGCAGCCACTGAAAAGCCAAAAACAGTCGATGGCAGAGGAGAGAAAAGCTAGAAATAGCCGTTGGTAAGGGAGAGAAAAGCTAGAAAAAGAGAAAAAAGAGACTGGAAAGAGAGGGATTAGTTCAGGGTTTGCAAAAGCACAATATACTCTATTATTAATCAAAAGAAGCTGTGATTTCTACCCAGGATTAGTTTAGTGTATTGCCGGATGCATGAAAGAGCAAGATCTAGAGGGAGTCAAAATTTTAACATTATGTGGATCTCATCTCTATCAAAGATGTGGTACAAACATGATATGATAAAAATAGTATTTTTAAACTTAATACAACAAATTGCATAAAATTTTAGTTCATATAACAAATTAAAAAAAACATATAAGTTTTTATCACATTTCAAAAAAGTTCTTATTTATTTGAGATACTATACATAGTTATATTTCAGATACCGCCAAGTGCTTCTCTTTGGCAGGCAACAATCTTATCCTATTTCTTATTTTCAATTCAAAATTTTAGTAGGCAGCGAATGTGACCCGTCGTCATCTGCTTTCTTCTACAATGTGCAGGGGAGACTTCCAATCTCATAATTCCAAAGTGTTAACTTATCTCAAATGCCACGAGTTTAATGGATAGTTACTGGGTTTTAACTCTGCCATTTTTTTACATATTACATATATATATTACTGGTTTGGTGTCTAGAATTTATTGAATTATATACTTATTACAAAATTTAAAGTACATTGAAAAGAATTGTATTTGAAAGGACAAAAAGCAGTACCGGAGACAAAGTGGGTGCAACTGGTTTATTAGTACCAAACAATGTCATTTTTATCTCCCATTAATTATCACTCTAGACCTAATAAGTTGTGGATTATGTTGGTCTGACTCTTCCATTTTTTTTTTCTTAAATATAAGACAGGAGGCAAAGGAAAAAAGATGTTTGCCACTTAGTAATATTGTTTAATGATATTTCTTTTATAAGGTCTTAAATTCAAATCTCACGAGTAACAAGTTCGCAACCAATTATTCTCCCCTTCTTAGTGTGTAGATATATTGTTGTATATTAAAAAAATTGAGAGAAACGATAGCTTTAGTGAATTAAATTGTTCAATATTAGAGGGAGAGGAAGATCAAACCCGCATTAGGGTGTATAAGTATTATTACTATCTGCCAGTGGATTTAAGAGAAAATATGAGTGCATTTGACCCCAGCAATGACATTTTTCTCTCCACTAATTACCATTGATTACCGCTCTTGCTTTTTCTTCCTCTCCTTACTCTGCCTTAATATATATATATATATATATATATATCTCTGTTAAAAGGACTAGAAACAGTAGCGGTGAAAAAGAGAGAGCATTTGGTATTTTAGTACCAAACAATGTCACTTTCGTCTCCACTAATTATCACTCTAGATCCCATGTATTGTGGACATAGGTTGGTTCTAACTCTTCCATTATTCCGTATGCATAAGACACGGCGGTAAAGGAAAAGATGTTTGTCACTTACTAATACTGTTCAGTAATATTTTTCTTACAAGAGGTCTTAGATTCGAATTTTAAGAATGCTAAGTTCGCGACGAATTTATTCGCTCCCCTTTAGTGTGTAAATATATTGTTGTATAATTCTTTTTTTTTTAGACAAACGATAACGTTAATAGGTTAAATTGTTAAATATTAGAGGAAGAAGGGAATCAGTGGAGATCGAACCAGTACAATGATGCATAGACATTATTATTTTGTGGCACTGAAATTAAAGAAAATGTGAGTGCATTTGACCGCACCAATGACATTTTTCACTACACTAATGATTGATTACCACTCTTGCTTTTTCTTCCTCTCCTTACTCTGCCCTCATATTTAAACCCCTTCTCACTCTGTCTCTACGTATTCTTTTGCTTTCCCTCTCCAGTTGATAGTTCACAAAACCACACACACCTCCATTTCTAGCCTTTGCCTTCAAAGCCTTTTATTCTCCTTCAAAATTTATCAATCTTTTTTTTTATTTTTTTTCTGTAGAACTGCAAATAATCGTGACAAAGAGACAACAGTTATGTCACCATCCCCTTATTCGTAACTGCACGGTGAGTAAAGCGATTAGTGACGGAGTAGGCACCCAGAAACGTTACAGTAGCGGCCAAGGGTTACAAAAACAAAAAGGTGACTACTGCTTGTTTTGTTTTTGTTTTGTTTGTTTGATATTTTGTTTTGTATGTATGATTTGGAAGTACTTCGGAAGACATGTTGAGTGCTCTTTTAGCAACCCAACAACAAATAAAGAATCATTGTGAAACACAAAATATCCAGAGCCAAAATGTCCAGCGTTCTCATTTGCCTTGAAGTACCACCTTAGACACACATCCAAACCAGACACAACGGCTCGTATGCACTGACTTATTAAACACAAAACACACAGCCCTAAGATCCTGTATTACAATTTGGATTTTTCTTACGCTTGCAAAGGGGAAATTAAAAAATCATATTGAAAACCCCTACCGAAGCACATTAATAATATTGCTAATGAATGTGGTTCGAGAAACAAACCTTGTTCGAGTGTGACCGATTGGTTACAACACATCACTCTGTACACAAGATCGCCCCCAAAAAATTTGACAAGTTACCTACTTAATAGATTAATGTAGACAAATGTGAATTTGGTTAGTAATTAGTAATCTTTGTTTAACCGGTATTTTTATTCCTACTTAACAAACCAATTTGAATGGCTTAAAACTAAAAAAATGTGAAATTTAATAGAAAAGTTTCAGTTAGACCTTATTTCAAACACATGCTCTGTTCTCCTTGAGGCTGCGGAACAACACATCCACCAACATTGATTTACAGAATCTGTTTCAATCACTTTCTCATCAACCCAATAGAGCACAGTGTTCAAAAGTTACTATTTACAAAATCTATCAATTACTTATATACATTGTATTATTTATATATTTGTTTGGGCCCAAAATAATAGTTTGGGCCGAAGGTAGGATCATCCTCGGCCCGGGAGGCCGTGCGGCGAGAGGGCCATGGATCGTTCAACCCGTGGGCTTCCAAGCCTAGGTCGGATAGATCATAACGCAAGTCGAGTCCTAAGTACAATGAGGAGTCTCGGCGGGATCAGTAACCCAGAAAGCGAATCCGGCTCAGTTAAGGACTAGGTTCACAATCCTAGTGAAGATAGGACTGGTCGAGGTGGTGTTGATCCGGAAAGGAAGACCTAGTCCGAGTAGGATTTTAACTTGGATTCAAGATACAGCGCTATAAATAGGGGAAGCTGTGCGTCAGAGAGAGCCCCCTGCAAATCAATACAAAATTGCCCTGCGCAAACTCTCAACAACTTGAGATCTTTTTCCTTTTTCTTTTTCGCTGACACATCTTCCGTTGGCATCAACAGCACTGTGGAAGCAACCGGTGATACCTTAAGTCGGCATAGATAACTCTGTCACTGTAGAATTAGTCGTTCTCGCAGTATCTTCCGTTGGCATCAACAGCACTGCGGCGAGAGCGGTTGATTACCTATCCAAGTCTCGGTCGAGAAGGGTTTCTAAATCTTTATTGGTCGAGGTCATCTCATTAGCCTTCTTGGCGAAGTGAGGTGTTACAGTTATTACATTCGGCACATTGAAAGCCGAATTTGATATTGAACTTCGTAAGAATAATAACCTTGTCTTCAGGTTCGAGAGCCCAAGAGGCCGAGACGTGTTCCTTTCTCGGCCGCAATCGCAAGACGCAGAAGTCAGCCGCGCACCCAACGCAACATCAACAAAATTTACTCCTCGGCCGAGCTCGGCCGACGAGTTGGCACGCCCCGCAATCACCGAATGACGTAGTTAGCCTTTAGATTACTCGGCTTGCGCGCCACGTAGGCTTTGTAGTTTCTAGGGTCAACATTTTGGCACGCCCAGTGGGACCCAGTGCTAGACTACGAAGTTCATGCCAATTGAAACACGATCGGTAAAAAAGAAAACAGCTATGGGAAAGTCGACAGCCGATTTGCCGAATCAGAGCATAGGACAAAGTGTGCCACAGGCGCAGAATCCCCTTAGCGCTGTGACACCTGAGTCCACGAGCGCGACTCGCCGAGAGAGAGAAGTTAATCTCGGCGGTCAACTACGCGGTCTAGAAATCCCTAACAGAAACACCTGCGTTCTTAATGAAGGGATAGTAGAAGAGTGCGATAAGGATGGTGGTGAAGGATCTGATCCGCCAACAAGGTCGTTTCTTCGAAAGCGACTAGACGAGCAGTCTCGGTCAGTCGAGCAGACGTTTAGTCGAGGCATTGACAAGCTGCATGACGTGATACTCAGTTCCAATGAGCGACAAACCAGATTGCTCGAAATGCTGGTTAGTAAAGTCAGTGACAGCAGGCCTTTCGATCTTCTACAGCACTTACCACCAGGAAACAATCCGTTACCAATTGTACCGGCCGAGCCTATTCCTGCTCGGCTCAAACAAGTTGACTTGGAAAAAGGAGGAGGGTCGAACAGCAAGTCAGACGGAACCGACCAGAGGGTCGAAGCAACACCTGTTGACATGACCGAAGTTCAGCGGATGATCGACTCGGCCATGAAGAAAGGGCCGAAGTTTCCTAAGTTTATCCATCCGTACCCGGCCTACGTGGAAACGTTCGGATACCCGAAGGGTTTCAAAATCCCAGATTTTAGCCTTTTTGGCGGTGAATCGTCTCTGTCTTCGTTGGAGCACGTGGCTCGTTTCACCGCGCAATGCGGGGATGTTAATAGTGATTTCCATAAGTTACGGTTGTTCAACTTCTCATTGACCGGTTCAGCATTCGCCTGGTATATCAATCTCCCTCCTAATTCCGTCCAAAACTGGGAGGGGTTGGTCGAGAAATTCCACGAGCAGTTTTATCGGCCAGGGATGGAGATGTCAGTTTCCTCATTAGCAAGGATGGCTCAAGCATCTGATGAGTCACCAATGGATTATCTTACCAGGTTCAAATCAGCCAGGAATTGGTGCCGAGTGCCTTTACCCGAAGTCGAATTTGTCAGGCTTGCTTTGAACGGCCTCGACGTCGAATACAAAAGAAATTCTTGGGGGCAAACTTTCGGGATATGTACGAATTAGCCCAGCATGTCGAGCAGTATGATTACTTGCTCCGCGAGGAAAAGATTTCGAAGGTTCCAACTCGGGGGACGATTTACAAGAATCCTACTGTCAATTATGCATCAACTGAGGATGAATGCGTTAGTGTGGATGCAGCTGAGATAGTGATAGATAAGCCATACGTCTGCAAGGCATTGACTCAAGTTGACTCTAGGGAAGTCAAAAGTCGTTCGGCCACTGAGGGAACGTTGAAACCGTCAAAAGTTTATACTTTTGATATTACAAAGGCTGACGCAATTTTTGACCAACTGTTATCAGCAAGAATCATCAAGCTTCGGCCTGGTCACAACATCCCCAAGGCCGAAGAGCTTAAAGGAAAGGTATATTGTAAATATCACAATTCAAGCAAACATACGACAAACAATTGTGTCGTGTTTCGAGACAACGTCCAAAGCTGGATTGATAATGGCAAACTGAAATTTCCAGAGAAGAAGATGAGTGTTGATACCGACCCGTTCCCCACGGCAACATTAAATATGGTTGATGCATGCCTCCCTAAAGACAAAGGGAAAGGGAAGGTCGAAGATGTTGCGACGCAATGCTTTCGGAATCAGAATTCTCGGCCACGTTTCATAGCCGATTTTCGTTCAAACAAACCACCTACAGCTTTAACGGGACCCGCTATTGTCAAACCTATAGTAGATTATACCACCGATGAAGACAGTGGGACAGCGGTTTTGTGCAGCAAATGCAGAGCCAAGGTCGGTAGTGAGCCAGAAGAGAAGCCCTCTTCGCTTATAACGGAACGACCTACGGCTGCAACCCAGCAGAAGGTTGCCGAAGTAGGCCAACATCAAGGGGTTTTTTATAGGCTCGGTCCTAAAGTACGGATGGAAGAGACACCCCCGGTCAGGCGGTGCCTCGATTTTGTTGCTTCATTCTATGACGATGATTACTATAAACGTAATTCTAGCAGTTCAGAATCATCGCGGAGCCAAAAAACCTTCAAACCTCCCGAGCTTAGAGATCAACGTTGGTATACATATCATTCTTCGAAAGGCGTCTACACCGCGTTGTCCAAATCCCAGAAATGCCGGCATCAAAGGATAGATTGCATGGCCCGCCGACGGGCAGCCCAAGAAACTTCGGTCCCTAAATGGCGGCCGAAGGACACCATTGCTACTGATGGTGAACGACCACCTCCAGCCATTATGACAGAGTTGGCTCAAGGGAGACGACTGGTCGACCAAGATGTCGAAACCACGTTTGAAGAGGCCGATAAACGGATCAAACTTCTTCTTCGACCAGGGGAGATGAAGGCGCGCCTTGAACATTTCAGGCAAGAGGCCGAAAGCAAATTAGCCCCGCCGGCTGTACAAGGACCTTTGATCAAGATCCGACGGAATTTGCACCCCCCGTTCCTTGGGGAGGCTTTGGAGTACATGCGAGAATTTCATAAGAAACATTCGGCCAATGATCTGTATGGCTTGCCAAAGACATGCCAGGACACCATTGATCTAGTCCTGACTTGTCCTGATGTCGAGCGAATCATCCAGAAAACCTCAGACCCAGGATTGAAAGCAAGGTTCCAGCACATACGAGAAGCTCGTGTCCTTGGATTTGAAGTCGACCCATACACTGATATTGATGCAGCCGACCTTCATTTCTCAATGGAGGACCTTCAGTATTTACGATATCACTTCGAAGTATTCTCGGCTGTTTCGCTCTTCGGCCTTACGACCGATAAAATAGCACGTGTTGCACGTCTAGATGCTTATCTTGACACTAGGGATGCCCGGCTACACTACCAGGAGCAGGTCCTGACCCCGAGCACACTGTCGATCTCAACCTCACATGAGGTAGGTACGCAGAACCAACAAGTTGCTGAAGCAGCACCACAGGATCAAACCATCGAAGAAGGAACAGAAGAGGCTCGTTGTCCAACCTTGACAGCAGAGTCCGCGGTTGCCGACCAGACAAGAGATGAAGCTAGTGAGGAGGGTCCTAACCCGATGGGCCCGTCAGTCATGGATAACATGGAAATCAGTATGGTCCATGTGTTACCCGCTGATTTTCAATCAAACACGACCCAACCG